GGGTCAGGGGGGACGGTGGGCGTGGGTTAGAGGGCAGGTGGAGGATGGGTAGGAAGGCAATAAGGAGCTCTATCGATTTAGTTTTATCGTTATCGTATCGTAGTTAGATTTTGATTTATCGATATAGAGCGACTTAGTCCGAGTCATGTCTTGGCTAAGGTACGAGTCAGTATGAGCAGTACCAGCGATATCAGCATTTACGCTTAGACTTTTGCCAAACGAACGCTTACGAGGCCAACATTGGCACTTACGAACATATGCGATATAAACCAAGCGTTTGTGAGCACTGCCGTTGTAAAACATTACCCGTAACGAACATCTGGGATCGGACGCTCGCATATAAACACTGGCCTCACAAACATCTGCCCGACGAACACTCGTTGCACGATCTGTTCGCCCAGATAGCATCCACTGGACCGTGAGCTGGCGCTGGCACCCGTCGACTTTAGTCCCGCTCACACCTGCCCCGTAGGGACTCCTCGTTTGTGACTCGTTCGCCGGTGTCATCGTTACCTGGGGGCTGACGGCGCTCGGTCGGCGGGACGGGGGCTGACGGCGCTTGCTCGGTCAGCGTTCACACATTACCTGGGGGCTGACGGCGCTCGGTCGGCGCGACGGGGCTGACCGCCCGGTCAGCGTTCACACGTTACCTGGGGGCTGACCGCTCGGTCAGCGTTCACACGTGCCAGTCCTTCGCAGTGGCGATGCAGTCCTCATCGATGCAGACTACGCCTGCTGCTTCAGCAGTGGAGGCGAAGGTTCACCTCCGCAGGGGGTGGGGAACTGAGATCGCCGTTTTGGAGAGGAGAGAAAAAGGAGCTATTTACAGCCGTGTTTTTATTACAACCTAAAACTATGAAGTTCTTGACTCCGAAGGCAGTTGGTCTGAAAGATATTTCGTTTGGGATGTGCTTCAGGCGTGAAAGCATTAGCGTGACAGCGTGCGTTGCGACCTAATGAGACAAAATATTTCCTGTGCAACACTTTTACATTCTCAGCACGTTTGCCAACAATGAGTAGGTGGACAATTTCCAACTTGTTCTTTTTAATAACAGCCATTTTCTGGTATTCCCCAAACGTAAAACATCCCTTTAACGTCACCATCGCGCCACACTGGCTGAGTCTGCGCTGGCGTGGCTGTTGATGAGCTGCGCCTGCTGACGGGGAATCCCAGCCTGCCACCTCAGCTGATGGATCCGAGCCTGTCTTCTGGATCCGAGCCTGTCTTCTACATCCGAGCCTGTCTCTGGATCCGAGCCTGTCTCTGGACCCGAGCCTGTCCCTGGATCTGAGCCAGTTGTGTCTGCTAGCCGGACGCCATCTGCTGAGCCTGGGCCGCCCGCTGTGTCTGCTGTGTTCACTGGCGGGCTGAATCTCGACTGGTGCCTCTGCTAGTGGGCCCGAGTGAGCCGTACCAAGTGGGACGGAGTCCGTCACGTCTCCTCTGCTGTGTTCACTGGCGGGCTGAGTCTCGACTGCTCGGTACGGCTCGCTCAGGCCCTCTGCTAGCGGACCCGAGTGAGCCGTACCGAGTTTAACGGAATCCATCACGTCTCCTCTGCTGTGTTCACTGGCGGGCTGAGTCTCGACTGGTGCCTCTGCTAGTGGGCCGGAGTGACCCGAACCAAGTGGGACGGAGTCCGTCGCATCCGCGTAGGGCTGACGTGTGGTGTTTGCACCAGGCGCTGCTGTCGCGTCTCTGACGTGCGGTGTCTGCACCAGCTGGTGCTGTCGTGTCTGCTGACGTGCGGTGTCTGCACCAGCCGGTGCTGTCGTGTCTGCTGACGTGCGGTGTCTGCACCAGCTGGTGCTGTCGTGTCTGCTGACGTGCGGTGTCTGCACCAGCTGGTGCTGTCGTGTCTGCTGACGTGCGGTGTCTGCACCAGCCGGTGCTGTCGTGTCTGCTGACGTGCGGTGTCTGCACCAGCCGGTGCTGTCGTGTCTGCTGACGTGCGGTGTCTGACCAGCTGGTGCTGTCGTGTCTGCTGACGTGCGGTGTCTGCACCAGCCGGTGCTGTCGTGTCTGCTGACGTGCGGTGTCTGCACCAGCTGGTGCTGTCGTGTCTGCTGACGTGCGGTGTCTGCACCAGCCGGTGCTGTCGTGTCTGCTGACGTGCGGTGTCTGCACCAGCCGGTGCTGTCGTGTCTGCTGACGTGCGGTGTCTGGACCAGCTGGTGCTGTCGTGTCTGCTGACGTGCGGTGTCTGCACCAGCTGGTGCTGTCGTGTCTGCTGACGTGCGGTGTCTGCACCAGCCGGTGCTGTCGTGTCTGCTAGCGGAGCGAAGTGTTCCGTGGAGTTCGCGGACGGCATTCAGTCTGTCGCGTAGCGGTGTCGTTTCACAAAATCACTCGCGTTAACTTGAGCACTAAGCACAGCCGACGCACAACGCTTGACCACCCGGAGCACAGCCTGAGCACAACACTCAATCAACCTGAGCACAGTACTCTATCAACCGGAAGTGACCTAAATACTTATGTTTCCCGGATGAGAGCAACTTTTGACAATCGAAGGCAATTGGTGCGCGCATTTGGAATATCTTGTTTTCCTTCGTAATGTTTTTGTGGATGCTACGTGAGAACGATGGTTTATTAATCTATAACAATTTTGTGATAATTTTTTCGTAGTTTTGCACGTCAGACGACATATTTGCCTGTTGTCAGGCCTATATTTTTGGAAGTATTTCATAATCATATCTTGTTGAGGCTGAGGAGAGGCCTCGCTGTCATGCTGAGTCGGCTGAACTGCGGGGGGGGGGGGGGAGGCGGTCTAGAATCCCTCCAAATGTGTGCAGTGCTGCACCCCCTTGGTCGTATCTGGCAAGTACTGACGTGAGCTGGCGTGGGTTGCCGTGGGCTGACGTGAACTGACGTGAGCTGACGTAAGCTGACGTGAGCTGACGTGAGCTGGCGTGAGCTGACGTGAGCTGACGTGAGCTGACGTGGACTGACGTGAGTGGGCGCAGTTGTGTCTGCTAGCGTGCGGTGTCTGCACCAGGCGCTGCTGTCACTCTGTCTCTGACGAGCTCACCACACGTCTCTGGCGTGTGGTGTCTGCATCAGCCGGTGCTGCCGTGTATGCTGACGTGTGGTGTCTGCACCAGCCACTGCTGCCGAGCTCGCTGGACCGCCGCTTCCTGCCCTACGGCCGACGCTGCTCCTCGCTCTCAGCATACGTGGTCACCGAGCCGCGCATGGCTCGCAACAACAGTGAGCCCGTGCCACCCCAGCGGTACGAGCCTGCCGCGCACCGCGCCAGCATGCAGGAGCTGCGCCCCCGGCCAGCGCCGGCCCCAGAATTGGCGCTGCCGCTGGACCACCTGGGACCGCCGCGTGACCTGCTGGGACCGCCGCGTGACCTGGTGGGGCCGGCGCGAGCGGCGGCGCTGCGCGGCCGGCCGCAGCCTGCGGCAACGGCGCAGAGCGCGGAGGCGACGCTGCGACAGGACCCGTCCCCAGAGGATCCGGCGCCGGGTCGTAGGCAGATGTCGGAGCACGGCCCCAGGTCAGGACGCGGCTGTCTGTGTCGGGAGAAGACGCGGGACTCGCAGGTGTGACGCGCCGGCCGTCGGCGGCGACGCTGCGCCGGACCGAGGCCGCCGGCGCTTGGGACACCCTCGGCCGTGTCACCTGGGACACCTTCGGCCGCGGCGCCTGGGACACCCTTGGCCGCGGCGCCTGGGACACCCTCGGCCGCGGCGCCTGGGACACCCTTGGCCGCGGCGCCTGGACACCCTCGGCCGCGGCACCTGGGACACCCTCGGCTGCGGCGCCTAGGACACCCTCGGCCGCGGCGCCTGGGACACCCTCGGCCGCGGCACCTGGGACACCCTCGGCCGCGGCGCCTGGGACACCCTCGGCCGCGGCGCCTGGACACCCTCGGCCGCGGCACCTGGGACACCCTCGGCCGCGGCACCTGGGACACCCTCGGCCGCGCGCCGGCGGGCGGGAGACCGCTCTGCAGCGCCCGCCGGTCCCGCGGCCAGCGGCGCAGGTCGCCCTGTGACGCCCCCGCCGGCCAGTGTGTGGAACGTCGGCGTGCTTGTCATCACCGTCGGGCACGAGAGTGCCCCAGTCTGGCAGGACACCGCCCCTAGCGCCAGTGACGGGGAGGCGGCGCGGTGATTCGGTGCGCCAACATATCAGCGCCACATGCGGACTATGCCGCCTGGTGCGCATTAAACGCGGCGCAACGCACGAGGCGGATAGTGAGTGTCGATAGCGCGGTGTTGGGTCAGCCGTCAGATCAATACGGTGCTAGGTGCTGGCGCAGCACACCGTCCTCGGCTGGTAGCCGGGAGATCATGACACGGTGCTGCGTGCTGGCGTAGCCCACCGTCCTCGGCTGGTAGCCATCAGATCATGATACGGTGCTGCGTGCTGGCGCAGCCCACCGTCCTCGGCTGGCAGCCGGCAGATCATGGTACGGTGCTGGGTGCTGGCGCAGTCCCCGGTCCTCAGCCTGTCAGCCGACAGGTCATGATACGGTGCTGGGTGTTGGCGCAGCCACCGTCCTCGGCTGGCAGCCGTCGGCCGCGCGCCGCTGTAAGCGAAATGGATTATTGAACTGTTTAGGAGGTCTTGTGCGCTTGACTTTCACATCGGTGCCTCTTTCCTCACTCGCCGCTTCATGCTGAATCCACGCAATGTCCCGTTTGCCTGGGGTAAGCTGCATGCTGTAACCGTGAGAAGCTTCAACGCACCCGTCCGCGCGTCCGCATAAGCTCCTCTTATCCCTGTGCGGGGTAAGTCCCGGCAGCAGAGGGATCTCAGATGCATGTAGTCTTGCACCACGACTCTCCATCACCCCGCGTCCCATAGCCCTGAAATGGTTATTGCGGGCCGCTAGGGCTCTAACCCAAATCAAACCAAATGGCTTTCACACACGGCATTTAGCCGGGCGGTGAATCACGCGCCCGTTGGTAGGCTTGTGTGCGGTGCCTGTCAGACGAGAGGTCAGGGGTCAGCGTCAGGTCAGTTTACAGTGACGGAAGGCTGCCGCAGTGACACCGGAATCCAGCAGTGCCCGCCCATATTCACCGTTATAGCTGAATGGAAAATGGGAAAAACGGGGCGGTCATCAGCGGCGACAGGTCCTCCAGGTCATCAGCATCAACAGGTCATCCAGGTCATCAGCGTCGACAGGACATCCAGGTCATCAGCGTCGACAGGTCATCCAGGTCATCAGCGTCGACAGGTCATCCAGGTCATCAGCGTCGACATCAGTGTTAATGTGGAACCTCAAATTGCCAGATGTTTCCGTGGTTCTATTCAGAGTGTAAAAGATGTGTTAAGATCATCACTATTCTGGTTCTTGTTCCTGACTTTAGGATATGCCTAATCCCGTCCACCAGCCATTCGCACAGACACGGAATATTGGCAGCCCCTATTGGCTTGCCCGTGACCTGTAAGTGCCGGCTCCGTTTAACGTGTGACACTCAAGAGCTGACCCAGGCCCATTGTCAACGCGCAGTTGTCCTGTTTCCCTGAACCTGTCGCGCATGTTTCATTTTTTTCGCCCATATAAACATCACCAGCTCCAGACTCAGCCATGTTTCATTGCATCTCAATAAATACAACGCAGTGCAGTCATTTCGTTCTTGACGTGCGAAACAGAGATCTGTTACGCAGTATATTAGCCGGCACTGATCATTGCGTAGTAGTTCAGGTTATATCCAATTTGGCGGTTATCTGCACGATTACGTAACTTTTAATTGCTGGCCATTCTGTTACGCGGGGCTTCGCGCTTGGCCTTCATCCTCGTTACAGGTCTTCACGAGCTCGTATTCTCTTTGTCCAATTCACCCGCTATCCGTAGGGCCGTAGCCAGCTCTCCCGCCACGCGGGTCTTGTTCATTCGTACCCACCATTTACCCATAATTTTACGTCTTCCGATGCTCATTGATGAAAGGGCTTGAGAACAACTTCCAACAAGACTGCTGCCTTCTCTCAATTACTTTGCTTTTACAAAATCAAGTAAATGCACGCAACTGCACAGCGTTTCGGTATTGTTATCTTATTCAGATGATATATTTTTTCCAAGATTCTTTCTTTACGCTATACTTGTTCAGAGAAGGCAAGGTTTCAACATATTCCACACGGATGCGCGTCAAGCTGATATGCTTCACCCATGGCTGTGTGTCACTTGTCGGCCCGTTCTAACGCGGCAGAAAACAGTGCAAAAGAGGGGCCACACTGCAGGTGGTTGGTGCTTGTTAGGGCGACAACTTGGTTCTTGGAATGATAATGTGCTGCTCGCTCTAGAAAAAGTGCAATTAGAATATCTGCTAGGTAGGTTCAACCCCCTCAACCACGCATGTGGTTCCAAATAGCGTGCACCCTCGGCCCCGGGCTTAGTCATTGTCCCAGACTTATCCCCGTCCTACCAGACCCGACCAGACGCACACCCTGCCCCGGCTGCTGCTCCGGTCCCAGACCACGTCCCGGTTCTGGTCAGACCCGAATCAGATCCCGGGACCGGACCCGGTTCTGATCTTAGACTCGCCCCGATAGCGGCCCAAAACCCTGTCCCGGGCCCAGACCTAGTCCAGACCCAGTTTAGACCCAGTCCAGACCCAGTCCAGACCCAGTCCAAACCCGGTTCAGACCCAGTCCAGACCTAATCCAAACCCGGCCCAGACCTAGTCCAGATCCAGTCCAGACCCAATCCAGACCCAGTCCAGATCCAGCCCAGACCCAATCCAGACCCAGTCCAGACCCAGTCCAGACCCAGTCCAGACCAGCCCAGACCCAGTCCAGAGCCGGTCACCGCTTGCCGCGACGAAACCTTGACCGCGGTCGGCGCGGGCCAGCGCCGTGGCCGGCCGGCGGCTCCATGCTCGCCGCGGCCGCCGCCCCAGCCGGACGGAGTCCAGAGGCCGCTGATTGTATCCCGCCAAACGGACGCCAGCCGCCCGCCCGCCCGCCGGCCACGTCACTGGCCGCCGCCGCTGAGGCCACGTGCGGGAACAGACGGCGGCAGCGGGGCGAGGAGTCTGCAGCGAATGCTCCATGTTGTACCCGCGGCGTTACATCAAAAGCAGCGGTGTAAAAATCGCGTTCGCGACCATCCCCCTGCCCCGCACTTAATCTAGAATCAGTTCACCCTGAATACCGACGGGGACGGTTATGCCGGCACGCGTCTTAGGTTAAAATACTGAAGAGCATCACCATAAAACACTACCACCATGTTCATAGAGCATTACCACCAATGGACCATTCCATGGCAGAAATATGCTGCAATGTGATTTGTCAATTTGTGCTTGACTTCCGCAAGGTTTTCGTATGCATGTCGGAGGAGATCGGCTTTGTGAACACTGTGAGGTAAACGTGTGGCTGCAATGATGGTGGAGGCCGTGCATACTTTATGCAGCTGACCCCACAACCTAGTACCTCTAGCTGATGTCGGCGCGGTATTTTCAAGGGAAGAGCTTGCACGAACGGCGAACAATGAACAAGCTCACAGTCCATCTTGTGTCGGACGGGCAGGCGCACCAGCGGAGCCTGTGTATAGGGCACCCAAATGTCGCATTCCCCAGCCATACGACATCCTTCAGTAGAAACACACAAGCCCCATTTGCGAAAATGTCACGGTGGATTAGTCGGTAATGACCTCGCTTGACAACGCTCGAGGCGACCTCTCTGCGGATCTGAGTGCGGGGCTCATCCCGGCTCCAGCCGACTCCCGGCCGAGCAAGCCACGGACTGGCAGCCAGTCAAGCTGGCTCAGACCTCAGCACCGGCGGTTGCCATGGCAACGCATCCGGCAGCCGCGGTCCGGTCCAGATTCGGCATCCGGCAGCCACGGTCCGGTCCGGTTCCGGCATCCGGCAGCCGCGGTCCCGTCCAGGTCCCGCATCCGGCAGCCGCGGTCCCGTCCGGATTCCACATCCGGCAGCCACGGTCCGGTCCAGATTCGGCATCCGGCAGCCGCGGTCCCGTCCGGACTCCACATCCGGCAGCCACGGTCCGGTCCAGGTCCCGCATCCGGCAGCCACGGTCCGGTCCAGATCCGGCATCCGGCAGCCACGGTCCGGTCCAGATTCCACATCCGGCAGCCACGGTCCGGTCCGGATTCCACATCCGGCAGCCACGGTCCGGTCCGGATTCCACATCCGGCAGCCACGGTCCGGTCCGGACTTCCACATCCGGCAGCCGCGGTCCGGTCCGGATCCGACCGGAGCCCCAGGGCACGACCCGAGCGGGATTGCGGGCTGTGAGTGAGTCGGCTCCGGCTACTAATGATGCGCCTGATAATTAGTGGACGACCCCCAGCGGGCTCGAAAAGGTCAGCAATAGGCTGCCGGGTCCCCGGACACGAGACACGTGGACGCAGCGTCGGGGACAGAGCTCCTGGTTTCAGCGGTCACCGAGCGGTTCCGAATCCTCGGAGAGGTAACATAAGTTGGGGAGGGCTCTGTTCGTGCACTTAGCATCGGGAGATTAATAAAATGGCCATCTCTGCGGAGCCGACATTGGACTGAGAGTCTCGGCGGTTCGGCGTCCGCGATGCTGGATCACAGGATTTCATATCTCTGCAGTGATCAGCTACGACCCTTGCGATTCGTTTAAGATGAGCACACAACTGTCGATAGGAAATGAGCCGTGGAAAGGAGCCGTGGCTCAGACGACCAGAGGAGGAGCAATGCATGCCACGATTATCTACCAGTCTTCTGAAACGGGAGCTGGCCCCAGGCCAGCTGCCGCCTTCCTGTTTGTCCGAACCTGCTGCTGCTGCTGACCTGACAGCAACCTGCTGACCTGACCTCGGATGAACGCCTCATTGGCCTGATCTAAAACCAACAAACAACTAACCTGACTTCTGAAGATTGGCTAACAGGCCTAGCCTAACCCCAGCCGTCCGTAACCTAATCGCACCTCGGCCATGAACCTGACCATAGTTTTGCTCGAAGTAAACGTCGTCACAACTTCACAAACTGAGATAGTAGCAGTGGCACACCCCAAGCGATCCTAGGACACACTCTCCTCCCCATCTTCCTGTAGCGCCGGGGGATTTGGGCGCACTTCTCTCGATTAATACATCCTTGCTACCGGAAGCAAACTTGGATACGTCACGAGGACTAGGGAGAACGGCACTCTCAAGATCGGGTGAGGGAGATATAAGTGAAGCGGTCGGGACAGCTCCAGATAGAAGGCAACCCAAGGCATGGAAATCCAGATGGAAGGCATCCCAAGACCACGAGGAGTAGTAACCAGACCAAGGCCACGCGGACCCCAAGCCTAGGAAGAGCTGTGTCCCAAGCTCAGACAGAGATGTGCTGAGCCTAGCTAGATTGGAGCCTCCCCACCCTAGAGTGGCACCCCTAGAGTCTTGATAAATAAGCTCCCGAACCTGTGGTAAAGGAACCCACCCAAATATACAGGCAGGCTAAGTACGGGTGCCCCCCAAGTCCTAGTGGAGCCGCCCGCAGGTGCCGGGAGAGGGCACACTCAGGCTGCACAGACCCGCCCGGTCCTAGTGGAGCCGCCCGCAGGTGCCGGGAGAGGGCACACTCAGCCTGCATAGACCCGCCCGGTCCTAGTGGAGCCGCCCGCAGGGTGGGAGGGCTCCTGCTGGTAAAAAGTTCTTTGATACTTTAAGGCCCCTCCCCCCCTCCAGAAAGGTCGGATATGAATCAGCTATTAATCAGGGACACGGCTTTCTTTGTTTTGTTGTTATGTTTACCTTTCTACAAATGCAGCAGAAGCCAGAAGCCACCGTGAGATCAATTCCGTTTTTCAGTCAAATTCTGTGTCAGGATGACAAACATCGGATTTTGAAGAAGGCTTGTTGTCTGGTGTATTACGCGACTCTCTGCCCTCCCCCCGGTCAGCAAAAGCAAATTAAAACTTTGAATAACGCACTTACAAAGATTTCCCCCATTCCTCCTACGAAAAAAAAAACGCTGCTTAAACGCCGCGATGGCAGAAACCAGAACAGAGCATCGTTGAGTTGCAGAATTGGGGTCACTTTGTCTTTATTTAGCGCCACTGAATGCGACACCATACGCCCCTTTACATAGAAAACATCCCTGGGACAACCCAGCCAAAAGCCTTCAAGAACGCGCTGTGTTTCCAGGCACACTCGGACGTGCTTCAGTTCCTATGACGTCCCACATGTGGTGCCTCCCCCTCCCTGCCGCCCAGCTACGTTAAGGACTGGTCCATCGACGTGTCGAGGTTCCGACCGTTGATGCGTCGTTCGAAGAGCGGACATCGGACGTGACGTGCCATTAAGGGGGGGGGGCTACGGTGGGGCGGGGCGGGGACGGGGGAGGCTATCGGCTAATTGTCGTTGCGGCTGGCGGAGCAGTACGCAGGTCTGTGTATAGATCGACTGGGTATGGCGTCGATAATCAATGTCTCGGCCGTCTCTGGGAGGACTGTGCGCGCGGTCGTCACCGACGGCGCGCGCCGCGCCACGGCGAGCCGCGTTCGCACGAGATCTGGCCGTGCCATCGACGTGTCGCGCGGCTGACAGCGGCACGGACCGCGCAGGCGTAAGCAGTACACGGCGACAGGGCGCTGGTACGCATGAGCCATTGCGCGCTCGCATGCGCCTCCGTGTACCTGGACACACGGCGCGTACGTACGGATCGGCGATGCACAGGCGTGGGGTCGTGCTTTGTTGACATGTGCGTCGATACGCATGTGACAGGAGTGGCGTCAGGCATATCAACTTACATGGAACAGTGATGTCTCGTCAACTCTCTCCGTCTTTTGCGTCAGTGACGATAACAGCCACCTTTCACCTCGGCAACAATCAATGGCGGTTCAGCGACGGCGGTACACACACCCACGGATGGAGGACGGTGCGAAGTAAACTGGCATAGGTGTAAGGATTACTACCTTTCATCGGCAAAAGGGCGACGTGCTGCTTATTTCTACAGAAGTGATGCGCACTGCCACACCTGCTACATCGCATTTTCCACCCAAGGCACCTCCACACCTAGGAATTAGTATCAAGGGCGGTCCAGGGACAGAGGCGATCATCCCAGATAGCTGTACCGTGTCGATTGTACTTCAAGGAATCTTTTTGGGATTCCCTGAAAATGTTGAGAACATTGCTCTCAAATTTCAACATCCTGTCCGATGGTGACTCAGGGACCGTGACGATAATCTCAACATGCGGTCCAATGGTGACTCAGGGACAGTGACGACAATCTCAGATCCTAACATCCTGTCCGATGGTGACTCAGGGACCGTGACGACAATCTCAACACGCGGTCCGCTGGTGTCTCAGGGACAGTGACGACAATCTCAACATGCGGTCCGATGGTGACTCAGGGACAGTGACGATAATCTCAAATCTTAACATCCTGTCCGATGGTGACTCAGGGACCGTGACAATCTCAACACGCGGTCTGATGGTGACTCAGGGACAGTGACGACAATCTCAGATCTCAACATCCGGTCCGATAGAGGCTCAGGGACAGTAACAGCGATCTAAGACCTCGGTACCCATGTGCGCTGGTACTTCAGGGAGGTACTTCAGGGACGGAGACAGTGAACTCTGACCTTAGCATCGACGCCCGATGGTGGTAACAGTGACGGTAGTCCTGGTCGTGACCATCAGCGCCCGACTGGGGTACCTTGAAGCGGCAGCGAGGAGCCATCGATCCCCGTAATCGCCCCGACTAGTTACTTCCATCCATCATTCGCTGCTTCGCTTTACTCGAATGTGCGCCAACATATCATTTCTTCAATGCTTAGCTCGACTCCTGGGGCGTGCTGGGTGCGTCATGTTTCCGAAGTGAGTAAGATCGGGGATGCATTCGTGAGAAGTTGGGCACCTGTGCCAGACACACAGCCAGACAGCGATCATGTGGCGGGTACAGAGCGTTTGTTGGGCACCTGTTCTCGACACACAGCCAGACGGCGATCATGCGCCGGGTACACAATGTTTGTTGGACACCTGTGCCCGACACACAGCCACAAAGATCATGTGGCGGGCAGAGTGGTTCCGTTCTATGCCAACGGCATGGACGGTTGACGTAACAGCGTGACATGCGGCGTTGAAGTTTCGTTCGCAGTGTCACTGAGGACAACGGCGTCCTTGATTCAGACGAGCCAGTTGCCCGTTTCACCATCCAGTTCGGCACAGCGACCGGATGCTCCGCACTGCCATCACCGCCTTCCGACACAAAAACCGGCCCGGCGCGGACGAATCGAGGATTATGTATTATTTCCGAACACAGTGTTTGTGAACAAGGTCAAAGTAAACTGTTCTATGTGTTACACAGACCCTCCAGGAATGGTCGCCGGCTGCGGCCGCGCGGCGCCGCGCGACGATATCGAACACAAACGGGCGCGCGCTACTGGCGCCCCTCCACGACACGCTGAAAGCTCGGGCATGCCACGTGACGAGACCGGGCCGGCACCATCGATGGCGTACCGTGACCTCATTACGGCTGGCCACGTGCGCCGTCACTGAGGTCCTGGTCGGGTGGGCCGGGGGCGCGGGGGGTGGGGCGCAGCCCGCGGTCCCGGCTCCTACCGCGGCCGAGCGGGCCGGGGGCGCGGGGAGGGCTGGGGCGCCGCCCGCGGTCCCGGCTCCTATCGTGAGTACGCTAGCTGCTGCGGCACCCCGTTTATGGTGTGTTGCTTGAGGACGTCGTTCTCGTACGTGTCCACCGTCTCCCGTCCGTTCTCGTATACCCTGCGGGCAGAGGGGACGACAGTGAGAGGAAGGGGGGGGAGGGGGGGGGGGGGGGGAAGGGAGGCATGACCGGAAAACACGCACGTCAAGACACGCACGCCGAAGCACACGCTCGCATTGCTGCAGTGCATCGGCGTAGCACTGACGCGCCAGCCTAACGATTACGACTGGCGTACCGATCGGGATGTTCTGAGGAGACGGCTCATGTTCCCACGCGGGCCGGTTACCCGGGGAAGAGCGGAGATGTCGCAGCGAGTTATACGCGCCGCTGGAAATGATGTCCGCACCGGTATCCTGGGGAATTCATTTCACCGAGCAGGCTTCATCCATTATTGCTCACGAGGGAGACACGACCCAATCAACTTCTTGAGCTGGGAGCAACTTTCGAGGTCGATGCAAGGCAGACGGCTTTCACAATGCCGATCTGTGTCATTAACTTCGACACAAGCCAACTCGCAGGATGGTCGCGGTAGCCATCTTGCACGGCACGAAGGCTTTCGGCAGCTTATCCACTTCCATATACCACGAAGAGCTGAAAACGTGACGAGCTTGCACTTGATCGCCAAACAAAAACGACTAATCCCTCGGCAAGGATGCCAATGATTGGGGCTTTACGTCTCACAGACTGCCAGGGCCATTTCGAGATGGATACCTTTGTTAGGTAGCGTGTGGGATGCACCCAAGACCCACTAGTCCAGAGCCGAGCACCTAACCACTATACCCCCCGCGCTCGGCAAGGATCGAGTCAACCACGCTCCTCTGCGTTTGCGACTTTTCTGCCAACAAAAATTATATGGCGTGGTGAGATTTTCAGTAATGGGAGGGGGGAGGGGGGATGGGAGATCCGCCAAAGACGCAAGCCAGATGACTGCATGGAGGCGAAATAAGATGCGATCTGTGCCCCCAATCCCCATCCCCCGCACCCTCCCACAACTCATCGGGAAAGCCACTACACTGAGTTAAAGTTAGTATAAAACTTGGTAACTGGCAGAAGACTCGTCAAGTACACGCACTTCTGCATGTGGAATCTGCAGGCATCCCACTTCATTCCATGCAGGCACACTAAGTGCACGAACTACGAGCATTTGTAGCACTTTGCAACCTCGTAAAGCAAAAGCTGTCCTACCACGTGACGGAGCCGATTACTGTCCGAACGCTCCCCATGTGCATCAAATAATGTCAACGCCTTTGCAATATTTCTTACGAGAAACCTTTTCACTTCTAGATGACTGGTCGACACAGAAGGGTCCCGGAGTAGCCACATTGCCTTTAAAGACACCTAGGAATACGCATATGGTCACTTGTTAAAGGAAAGGTGCTGCCTTTAGCGACCATCACAAAAACAAGAATGTGCGATAAATGCAAGTTTCCAGTCACCGCTACACGTCATGGCACGGCATGATGCATTATGAACTGCGATGTGTGGTAAACATCTGGGTCGTCCAAATCATACAGCAAGCATACGGTACAACAACCATGCAACACCATTATAATTTGATTAAATTTCAGAAAAACTTCCCCAAAGCTGTATAAGCGGCAACATTCGTGATCAAATACGACGGCAACCACAAGTCTACTTGCTGCGAGTAAATAGGTTTGAAATGATCAATGACTTCGGTGCAGGCGGGGCAACCAGGCTTTAGCGCTGCTCACAGCCAGCGGAGTGCCTCGTATGGACTGAAGCCTAAGCCGCCAGCGGAGTGCCTCTTATGGACTGAAGCCTAAGCCGCCAGCGTCGCGCTGGATTGATACGTCTTGAATAATGCATTAATATCGAAATCGCAGCTAACTTGGATCTGGCTATGTAAAATCTGACGAACGATCACGAGCACGAACTTGCTTTCAAGGAAATGCTCCATGCTTGAAGATATTGAAGCGACCATCACATATGGTGAAACAAGTCCTCTTATAACTATCTTATAACTCTTATACTTTTAAATGGGAAAGACTGGCCCAGACAGCACAGTGCTCTGTTTAGTAAATATGCTTCTCAATGCGTTATGGTTTGCTTACGTCATCGCACCTTGAACGACATTGATTGAGAGCCAATCGATGGCCGTCATATCGGCAAATCGCGCTCAAGAACGCTAGATATGCATGCCTCAACAATTCTATGTTTTGGCCTTGATCGCCGCATGGCCTGCGGAATGGCAAGATTTGAATGACGTTATCATGATCTCACGAATGCCAAGGTGACTTTGAAATACTCTCCCCGATACACCTTAACCCATTTTTTGCAGGCATGCAGCTCAGCAACTACAGGGACTTAGGCATTCAGAAGGGCGAGATAGTGAACAGTACCGAAAGGTCTTCAAGATGGCTATTTCAGTTCAAAACCCCCATATAAATGTGGAACACTCCTTTGCAACGAGCCAAATATTTCAGGAATCCAACAAAACCTTCATAATAAAATAAAATGAAAACCACGAACACATACGCAATGCCGCATCGTTTCGTGTGCTCGATTTTCTTGCTACCATCTCCAATCAAAATGCAAGAACACGCTGTTTCAAAACCCAAAACACTCCAGCTCATCGCATGCTTCTTTCAGACCTTTGACGCTCGACGCTGCATTCCACTTGGGCGCGGCCGCGAGGCGGGCGAGCCGTTACCCATCGGCTTATTTGTGTCCAGTGAGACCCCCCCCCCCCCCAATCCCGCCGCTGCCGCCGCCAGCCCCGGCAATGACACGACCGCTAGTCCACACGACGGCACCATTTCGGCACAAATGCGGCAATGCATTTCGGCGCCCGTGAGTGTTTGCAGGCCGTTTGAGGCGGCTAGCAGCCATTTGAGCGCGGCAGACTCGGCTCGGTCCACGCGCCGCTGGCGTCGGCGACGCCGCTTCGTCATGACCACTGGTCCTCCCCTTGCCTTGACGTTGTGTTGTGTCAGAGTGGGGTCGCGGGGAGGAGTGACCATGGGAATATGGATCAACGGATCATCACGGTAAATATTTGACAAGCAGTGAAAGACAGGACACATGCGTCACTCAGGCATTAGAATCAATGAAACCAAACGGCATGGTAATTTAAACGTCAATCAACAACGATCAGATCGTTCTTATTTCATTTATCGCGATAATTGGTAGAACGTCGCATTGCATTCCATTCGTTTGCTCTCATATGTAGCAAATGCAACCACACCGCTCGAAAAAGAGAACGTTCCGGCACTGAACTATTTCCGCCCTGCCATGTGGAATTAATGAGCGACTAAGCGTGTAGCCCTGGGCGGGGGGGGGGTCTCATCGAGTACTCGCAGGCAGCGGCGTCTCCGCTGTTGCGCCTCACCCGCCTATCTGCAGAGTCTCGTCCGGCGGAAGCAAGCAATTAATCGCGACCGAAACTGGCCGACATTCCGACGTCGTCCAACGGCTTGAGCCCCCACCCTCCACGCCGCGTCCAGCACAGCAAAGCACGCTGGCGACCCGCTCACTCACCGCCGCGTGGTGATCTTCTTGCCGTTGACGAACTTGGTGCTGGTGGACGTGCGTTTGACTCCGGCGCCGGGCGAGCCCAGACTGCTGAAGCTCGTCGACGACACGAAGCCGTGCTGCGCCAGGCCACCGTGGTGCGCCAGGCCGTGGTGCGCCAGCGCGCCGTGCGCCAGGCCGGCGTGGCCGCCGCGACCGTCCATCACGGCGTCGATGGCGGCGAAGGAGGACATCATGCTGCCCAGGCCTGTGAAGCCGAGCGGCGAGAAGAAGAGCGGCGACGCCAGCAGCTGGTGGGCGGGCGCCGGCGCCGCCGGATGGTGCCGGCTGCGGCTGCGGCTGTGGCGGCTCCGGTGCGGCCCCACGCCGCCCAGCGGCTCCATCGTGCCTGACGAGAAGAAGTCTACGTGCGCGTTGGTCAGAGGCGGAGAAGCGAGGCACGGCTCGGTCGAGCGGCGAAAAAAGGCGCGAGCAGCAGGGTCGCGCAGGGATAGCGCGGCCAGCGCGGACAGCCACACACGGACACAAGACGGACACGCGCCACAGGCGGCACACAAACACGCGAGCGGTCCGCTCTCCGCTAGGAGCGACGGCGGCAATTACTGTAATGCACGCCAATGGCCATTGCAAGGTTGCTGGCGTCAGGTCGATGAGCGTACTCCTCGCGGGCGCGCGCGGTCCTTCCGCCAGCTTCGAATCGATTACAATTACGGGACCGGGGAGTGTCGGGGCATCGAAGCCAACAGCCAATATTGCAGTCGCTGTTTAATTCAGGCGGCCGCGGTGGCGCAGGTGGGCAGGGCCGGCTGATTGCCACCGCCGCTGTGGTCAGGGAGACGGAGGCTGTGCGGGAGGGTGGGGGAGGGAAGGGGAGGGGGCAGAGGAGCTGCAGGACGGCCGGGGATGGGACAGGGACTGGGAGAGGGTCTGGTTGGGGATTCGGTGATCAGGGAAGGGTCTTGTTACGGGTTCGGGGACTGAGAGATGCTAGATCGGGGACGGAGCAGGGACCGGGGAAAGGCCTAATTATGAGTTCGGGGACAGTTGGGGGCGGGGCAGAGATCGGGGAGGGTCTAGTAAGGGGGTTTGGAGACTGACCAGCGATGGCGTAAGAGCCGGGGCAGAGTCTAGTTGGGGTTTCGGAGACTGAGAAATGCTCGACCTGAGACGGGGTCGGTCGAGGACCGCTGGGGTGCGGGGGGGGGGGATGCCAGACAGATGCCATCAATGGGGGCAGCGAGCGTTCGTCGGAGCAGCACGAAACCCAGAACGGAACGAGTGACTGGCTGGGCGGAAAACCCGGAGACCAAGCGAACGTCTAGTAGTGGATTGAACAGCTACAGCTAGCTGATGGGTCATCTGGCTCCAGACGTCTGACTCACAGCCATGGACCCCACGGCCGTCTGGAAGGTAATCCGTCTACGCCGCAGTGAGCGACGGTCGGCGCGGAAGCAGGGCCGGCCCGGTCGGCCGACGGCCTACCACGGCCGGTGCTGATCGATTGCGTAATCCCGCCCGATCCCCGCCGGGATCAGCGGCGCGTCACCCGCCCGGTATTAAGCCAAAGCCCCCCCCCCCCTCCCCCCTCCTTAAGCGTCTCCTCGGGCCACGTAGCTTTCCGGCGCTTTCAAGACGGGCACGCCCAAATCGACATTAGGCCCCGACGTGCCGGCAATTAGAAAATGGGCCGGCCGCGGCGCCAGGTCGGCTCTTTGTGTAATGACCTGACGGACGCAGCGTCTCGGGTGAGTCACGCAGCGGCCTGAGTCGTACGCCGGGCCCGTCGCGACGCTGGTAAGGCAGGTGGCGGCGCGCCAGGTGTCGCGCCGGCAATCTGGCCCGTCCCTTTGTCGTGCCGGTCCCCAGGCTACGCGCTCGCTCGCTCTCGCCGCGATAGCGTCGGAGCCTCCGGCGATTGTTGGCGTATCTCTCAGAAGGCTGGCAGAGGCATTGTGATTACGGGGAACCCCGGGGTGCTGAGGCCAGTGACCTGGCAGGGAAGGAGTCGGTGAGTGGGAGGAGGGGGGCGTCAGACCAAGGCTTGAGGAGCCGGGTGAGATCCAGAGTTGCCTCGCAAGACCGCGCATTCCCTCGCGGAGCCGAGCGCGAGATCACAGCAACTCTTCCAATTTGCGATGGCTGAACAGCGGCAATTCAGGTGGTCCAACAATCGCCAGAACACGAACACGCGCGCACACGCGACCTCATACACAAAGCAAACGATCCACGCGACAGGCAGCCATAAATGTGATGTGATGCAAGCTTAGGGGCCAAGCCTTCCGGCCGTACGCTCCTAATAAGCTAGGCTGGGGAAGCCGGGCGAGTGCAGCGCTTTCAACTTGATACCTTAAGCATGTCGACTGAGACGTATGTTAAGCAGGGCGACACAAGCACGCAGACAGGCTTGAGTTCCACCCGTCCGACTAGCACACTTCGTTAGCGTTACTTTTTAACGGCGGCCATTTTCGGAGCGTGCACACTCCTCGAGCGCCACAAGCGGGGCCGGCGCCCGGCTGGGTAGCAGCGTGTGGCGGGCGCAGCGGTGGCCACGCCGAACTTCACTCCAAATTAGCATAATCGTAAACTTGTCCGCTGATTAGAATGCTCGCCCCAGCGGCTCTGCCCGCCCACCTCCCCGTGCGGTCCCCAGCCACGGCCAAGCGTTCACGGCGGGACGCTCACCATCAAAGAAGTCGGCGAACGGGTCGCCGCCGAAGAACTCGCGGAACACGTCCTCAGGGTCGCGGAAGCTGAAGCCGCCGAACATGAAGCCCAGGTCGGGCTCGGGGAAGCCATGCGGTGCATGGTGGTGGCTGGACGTGGCGCCGTTCTTCAGGCCCTCCTTGCCGAAGCGGTCGTAGACCTTCCGCTTTTTCTCTGCGAGCGGGAGCGGCGCCGTTACGGTGAGCGCGTGCGGAGGCTGTGGGGACACATATCTAAATAACGCTGGAGAGGCGGCTGCGCCTGTCAGACGACTCAATGGTCCACCCCGGTAATTATATTGCTAGGTTTTCACTCGGCACCGTTGGTTGGATTGGGCATTGGTGGTGACCGGAGCCTGGGATAATCAGCTATCTGGGTGGCTGCCTTCAGCCTCGCAGTCACCCCAGCCTCGGCTGGTCGTCAGCTCGGTTGAATGACGTTTAGCAGAGCGTCGACGGCGATCGCTGCAGGTACCAAGGCAATTACTAGGACAGTCCATCAAGCACGCCAAGGCTCCCCATCCAGGGTCACCGGGGTGTGCCAAACAAACCGCCCCCACAAACACCCGCTGCACGCTTGTTGCTATGTTAAGCAGACGGCCAGATGGTGTTACTCCGACAGAAATCAAACGAATGATCATTTTGGACACTCGAAAGTCCGTGGAACTAACCTTCTAGCGCTCTTTATGACCTCAATTCGCCTGCAGTTTATTAGTGTTACCAGAGCTTCACCACATAGCAGCGTTCTATCAGTGAAATGCTACCGATCCAACCAATATACGTTTAGGTGTATGTTCACTGATGCATTGAAAGCATGGTGTCACCTCCAATGTATCACAGCCGGCATGATTCACAGTCACCAAACGCTGGCCCGGAGCGGATGCGAGCGCGCACTTTGTTAGGGGCGCATGGCTAATTCACACCACCGCCTGAAAGCCTAGACATGCAAACGAGGGTCCCGTCAGCACGAGCCACACGCCACCTGCCGGGTTATTGGACACTTCAGCGACAGGATATATATAAGACGACAGCAGTGGCACCGGACACGCGTCCGGGTGTGCGTGATCAGCGTCATGCCCCACGTGCCTCCTCAGTGCACACACGCGCCACACGCCCGAGGGGAAGGGGGAGGGAAGGGCACACAGTCGGCCCACGTGCGAGCCGGGCGCGGCGGGCGCTCGTTTACGGCGGGGTTAGACGGGGAGCACACGGCACGCCCTGTACCGAAAAGCCGGGCGAGGGGCCAGCTGTGGAGGCCACGGGGGCGGGAGGGCCGTCGGGCCGGCTCAGCCGCCGCCCGCAGCTGCCCGTCGTGCAGGCGGCGCCGGGCCTCTGGGCGCGGCGGAACGAGCGCAGGTCAGTGCGGCATCGCACAACGGCCACGGCCGTCTACGTCACATCCACGTCCAAACCACGGCCAGCCACGTCGGCCTCCGTTCTTCTCAGTATCAGCACATACGCCAGCTCTTAACGCCAGCATAAACAGCACGGTGTGCGTCCTCTTTCCAAACGCTAACATCGACGCTCGGTCGCAACGTCCCCAGCGTTTCCTCAGATCCTCAGTCACAATCACTCTGCTGACATTCAGCAGCGCTCGGTTACCCGACCTCCCTAGCTTTCTCAGCAGCTCTATTTGTCAAGTTATTCGTGTTCCAATCTCAGTCGTATTTCGAGGGCCCGGGAAGACAGCCGCTGCGGGCCACACTCACCGTCCGACAGCACCTCGTACGCCTCTGAGATCTCCTTGAACCGGATAGTGGCGGCCTCTTTGTTGTTCAGGTTCTTGTCGGGGTGCCACTGCAGCGCCAACTTGCGGTATCTTGCGCCAACAGTAGACCGTGACCGTTCACGCATTGGGGGGGGGGGGGGCTAATTACACGCATACAGCCCACGACAGGAACATAGGACAGGTGGTTCGGTACATACATAACAAGAATGATGCGGAAGCCCGACAGTTGGGGAGGCCGGTAGGCGTCAGTTGCTTTAGGCAACACGATTCGCGTGCTTGCCATGGCCACTGCCCGTACTGTACGTTCGAGAACTAACCACCAGATGTCAGGTAAACCAACGGGAAGTCCTGATGTTGGGGGCGTGTTAGCCAAATCTCGTTACCACACATCATTCATAAGTACACTGCTGAGAATTGCTTTCGCAACACCTCATAAAGGTGATTTTCGTGTTGAGTTAACACCAGCCACCGGTGAAAAAGGTCAAGAACCAGCGCCCGACTCGCCGTCGGCTGGTGGTTGTACGCGACGCGTCACAGGCAGAGCGACAGGCAATGTTTTTCGAGGTCCAGAACGTGCGAACTACTTGGCCAGTAAATTACCACTTTTTTTTGTTGATTTTTGCCACTAAGTAATGCCTGGGACGCAGGAGCGACAGAGAGAACAGCCACCCCAACTCAATCTTCACGGGTGCCACCCCAACTCAATCTTTCACGGGTGTCGATTTGTATTTTTTGTGAGGGTTCCGGCCCCCCAATGTTTAGTTGGCCCCCAATGTTGGTTTTGCTCCCTCCATGCTTTGAGAGGAATACCTACAAAAAACGTGGGTTAAGGATGATCATAATACAAAGAATATCTTCTTGATTTTTTCTGCCCAGTGGCGTCTAGTACCACTCTCATAACAAAAAAGTCATAGTTGCTGAATAAACGATGCAATAAACTTACATACCATAACATACACGCCCGCAAACGCCAGCGTCATAAGTGCACGCAGTAGTCTGTGAGGTTAAAGTGAAAAGCTTTGGAATATGGGAATGACCTAAGTCCTTCATGACTAACCCCGGCCGCGTCCCACACAACGAAAATGCGTGCCGCCCTCCCCTGACCGCCACAGAAGAGCGCCATCGGCGCCCTGAGGTGCCTCTAAATGGGCGCCTTCACGTGCCGATCAGAAGGGATGCGTACGTCCAGTGCCTGTTCCCTGGTCCCAACCCTGCATGACTTACTATACTGCTTTAATTAATGACTGTTAAATTTTACAAAGATTAAAAACATATATTGCGTTTAATCAAATAAAATGGGCTATATCCAGCAAGCAAATGGGGGGTTGGTTGTCCGGCTTTCGCTTTGGCCCCCCCCCCCCCGCCCCAGTAATTTACAAAATTGACACCTCTGCCATCTTCTGAAAACAATACGACATGAGTACTGCGGTGTTGTACCAGACAGACCAAACATCGCATTTGGGCCGCCATCTCCTCCGACGAGTGTCCACAGCCATTGACTGAAGGATGGAAACAATATTGTTCAGCACAATCGAAGTCCCGCCTTGCCTAAAAGGATAACACCTTTCATAAAAATCATTGGGCTTTACGTCTCACCGATAGCCAGGACCATTTCGAGACGAATGCCTTTATGAGGCATCATGTGAGATGCAGTGGTGCAGCCTTAAAGAAAATATTTCATTTTTGAAGATATTGAAGCAAGCAGCAGACAGAATGAAACAAGCACACTTATAATATTGATGTACTTTTAAGAAGAAAGACTGCTGCAGACAACACGATGTCTCTGTTTAGTAAATATGCTCCTCAACCCGTCAATGTTTGATCACATCATCGTTCCTTGCACAACATTGATCGAGAGCCACTTGACAGTCATGATATCTGGGAACCGTGCTCACGAACGGCCAGATATAAGCGACTCGACCATCACACTATTTGCCTGATCGCCGCATGGCTTGCGGAATAGCACGATTTGAATGGCGTTATCATGATGCCATAAATGTCAAGATAAACTTGAAATGCTCTCTCACAAGACTCTCCCCCATCTTTGCGGCCTTTCAACTCAGGAAGCGCAGGGTTTCAGGCCTCAAAAAGGGCACGGCCGTGACCTGCATCAGAACGTCTTCAATATGGCTATTTCAGTTCAAAACACCATACGAATATGGATCACTCCCTTTAAAGGCTGCACAGAAGACCGACAGTGCTAAACCTGAGCACCCAACCATAAAACCATTGACATCATTCAGAATGTCGCAAAAAAATTCCGCAAGCCATCTCGTGTTGCACACCCATAGCTGGGTAGCCATCAAATCCAGGCCGATGCGGCACCGGCCACACCAGCTTTTCCTGGCATTAACATGTTGTCATCTCCCATCTTCTCAATGACGTGCACACCGAGAGAAATGCATTTGACAGGAAAATTGACGAAATCTGTCCGCCACGTAGATTTTACCGCCTGCACTATCTCACCAACCATGCCTCCCTGGTTCTGCCACCCTTGCTGCACCCAAACGAGGCATACCTGGTCACTTCCCACGGCGCGACTGCAAGGTCGCAAGCCAGCTACTCACGCCTTTTTATGTGCTCTGCCGAAGCGTTCCGGGGCACCTCCAGGATGCGGTAGTAGTCGACCATAGCGAGGCCTTTGATACCGTGCTGAGCGTCGGATCTGCAGCGGGCAGGCGAGACGGGTGTTAGAGCATGCTCCTTTGCACGCTGCGGCTTGCCATGAGGTTGGGGGGGGGGGGGGGGGGGCGTTAGGGCTTCACGGCGCACACTCAGTTGCTGGGATATATGGCGTCGCCTGCATCCCACCCTGGCAGGAACGGCGGGTATCGCGGGGAATCGAACTCCGTACCTCTGGTTTCCCAGACGCGCAGTGGTTAACGCAAACGCGTTAAACCACTGCACGTCTGGGGAAACTGGGCAAGTGTTGGAGACAAGGTCACGCTGGACATGGCACCTCCTGTGGCCACATTCGAGAAAGGGCAAGTTGCCCGCAGTTGAGGCCAGAGAACCTGCGCTGTTGTTCACGTGGGGTTGACAAGGGGCTAATGGGTATCAGAGAACCGAACCAGTCGTGGGTGATGGACACGTACTAGCTGCAGCAGTCTATCAGCAGTTCCTTTAAAGTTGAACGGAAAAATGCCAACAATTCGGCAATTTTTCACTCGTAGACATGGGCGTAGTTTTACTAAATGAGTTGGGGGGGGGGGGGGGGAACTGAACAGTGAAAAATGACCCAGCTACCCCCAATAATATGCTAACAAACAGGTTCCTCCTCGGATTTTTCCCTCCGTCTTCCCGAAATTGGGGGGAACTGAAGTTTCGGCATTTAGACACCCTGATTGCAAATCCTGCAGCCAAATACTTTGAGCCTCGGCGAACTTCCGCGCGCGATAGAGGTCCAAGCTTCGTCGGCGGCGACACAGCTTGGCCCGCCAGAACGCTCCGGTGAATCGGCGGCTGGTGGTTGGAGCCTTTCAAACATCTGTGCTGTAACCGACTTTCTCTTGTCGTGCACGCTCACAGTTGCACGCAGTCGCGTGTGTTTGTTGCCGACGGTTTTTATAAGAGGCTCGAAGGTTGCATTTGAGGCGGCAGAGCCGTGGTGATTGCATGCCATAAAACTTGAGGTTCAAACGGAATTATATCATGATGATAAGAGAGCAATTCAATGCTCTCCAAAATCAGGAGAACGATTAACTTTCTCGTTCCAGTTCCACTAGCCAAATGGGGAGGCTTTTCGCTCACCCTGACGGTAGTGCCCCCTCCCTCCCCCCCCCCCCAGGCCGTGATACATCTTGTGGCCGAAGGTCACATCATATTTCAGCAGCTTAGAATGGCCGAATTCCTTTTAAAAATGTGGAAATAAATAACCTAGGAACATCAAAATAGGATTCTGGGCCTCATTAGGCCCTAGATTTAAAAACAGGACCCATTAAGCGACAAATCGCAACCCCTTGGCTAGAAGGGGCCCTCGTTACTTGATCTGGCCCGCGGCTGGGCGAAATCTTGGCTGCGCCATTGGGCTCTTCGCCGCTGACTGGCCTGCCCCAGGCGCCCCTGGTGAATGATCAGCCTATGGATTTCCGCAGGTTTAATTCAACACAGCGTATTGCGTATTTCCCTGTAGCTAAAATAGCATGAAGGAAGGAAAAGAAATCAGACGACTCAATTATCAATCATGTGTCATCCGCTTTCCTTCATACCAATGTCGCTACAGAGCGAGCAACCAAGGTATTTTTGAAAAAGAAACACTCGTGAGACATTCCGTAGATGTCCGTGAACACGGCGCCGAAGGCGATGCAATAAAACTGTCGTAAACCACGACAACAATGGCCCGAGAGAAAGAAGCCAACTGACACCAGAGCGGGCGAGCGTATCACAAAGGGTTTCAGTCCAACTCAAGCACCCCCAAGCCCGGAGGCAACATGAGCACGGTTGCTGGCATTGTCAGGCCTTCCTTGACATTTGGGACACAAAAAATAACGATGGGTCTGGCGTTTCCGCGACTCGCAATATCTCTGATCTACCCCATTAGCTTGAAGCAGTGGACTCGGTCCACAACATCGGCAGAGAGTAAAACGGAGGGAGGGTGTGGGAGGGGCTGAAACCAATCCGATATCTCAGGGACAACACTGTGTCCATCCCACCACCTGCCGCGGCAGACAATGAACTGGGACCGTTCGATCAGTTTAGGAACAGCTGCTACACTGGAAACGCTTCAACATCAGCGGTGGTGTAACAAACGCTGTAGCAGTTTGATGGTGTGCTGACACGCCCCTCCCCCCTCATTAGATGGCAGGCAGGCCGCGGACTGTAAGCACGCCGTCAGCCGAGGGTCGGCCGCTGGATTGGAACCAACGAGTTGGATTGGACTGGAACCAACGAGCTGGACTGGACTGAAACCCAACGAGCTGGACTGGACTGGAACCAACGAGCTGGACTGGACTGGAACCAACGAGCTGGACTAGGCTGGAACCAACGAGCTGGACTGGACTGGGACCAACGAGCTGGACTGGACTGGAACCAACGAGCTGGACTGGACTGGAACCAACGAGCTGGACTGGACTGGAACCAACGAACTGGACTGGACTGGAACCAACGAGCTGGACTGGACTGGAACCAATGAGCTCATGCTTGTCTGAGCCCGGAACGGGTCCTAACTAACTCTGGAACCAACTGCGTTTAGACGATGGCCGAGTGGAAAGCATTCCTTTGGAAATACTTGCGAGCTATGTCGGGGGCTGAATCCAGCGTGTTTGCTGCTGTCATTGACAAGGCGATCCAATCAGGAATCGTAGCTAAAAACAAGTGTTCCTTTTCTGACAGTCATATATGGTACATCAACGGCACCCTGCCAACACAGGAATCATACGTCTGCGGCGGGTGTGCACGTCGCGTTTAATGAACGATAACATATTTGCAACGCACGCCGAGAAAATTGCTCGGCCCGCGTGAGTCTGCTGAGAGGAAGACTAGGTGTTGGAGAACGCAGAGGGCGCGCTGACTGACCAAACTCGGGAGATCCGCTGTGGTTGCAGCACGCCCTCGCGCACTGCACACGTGACGTGGTGGCCAGAGCTGCGTCACAAGAACTCAAAACGGGGCTACATCACAAGAATGATGGCAAATGTCGGGTAATTAACGCCTTTCAAGGAATAAGCACCACAACAGCAGACACTGATAACGGATGCGACCCGCTCTGAAGAACACGTGTACACACCAGACTACGCGATTTGTCCAGCCTTAAATAATCGGTTTCCTCTCTGGACAGGGGCTCTCTCCTGCACCGATATAAGTGCCTACGTTCGACCTACAGCAGTGAACTCAGACGATCCAGTGCAAACAAGACAGTGGTAAGATGCAGTACCAAACAGCGCGCTTGCTGCGGTCAGCTAAAGCTTCTCCACATAACTTGACTACATGCCAGGTGTCCAGGATACGTTTACCGCGGAAAGGCAAAAAACATCAGCGATCAGCATATTCATGCTGACAAACGCAATGCCACCGTAGCCACGGGCGTCGTAAAATGCCACAAAAAGATTAAAGGTCTCATATCAGATGATGACTATCACCTACTAAACAAGGACCTTGCTGGAAAATTGAGAAGAAATTTCGACTACCCCAAGAGATGCAACACACGGCCAAACATTGGCCCCGCGGATGCAAAAATACCTTATCCTACAAACACAACAGCTCGTGTCATCTACGGTTCCAAAATATGTGAGACCAATATGCCGTTAAGGGTCATGGTCCGACGTGTTGGTTTCCATGCAAGAAGAATGACCTTTTAATAACGGAAAAATGACCCCTATCTTATGAAAACCAAGCTTCAACACCAACCATTCATCACCGTTTGCCACGAACACCCGGTAGTGGAATGTGTATAAAAACTGACGTCATCACCAGTTTTGATGCATTTTGTTGTTTATTGGTGTTCCAGGGCGCGTCGACTACAATGGCCATTTCGCGCCTAATATCATCACTAGCTTTGACGTGACAAACATTTTCACGGAGGTATCTGTCAGAAAGGTCGCATCAGAGGCCGCATCTACCAGAAGTTTGTGAAAATCTCTTGGATTACGACCCTTTACACAGACGCACTTCACTCGAGATCGTAAACCCAGCTTAAGACGTCGAGTGCTGCCAAACCAATAGTTGTGCTACACCGCCGCACCCGCCGCCGCACCTCCTGGTATACTACACCGCCGCACCGCCGCCACACCTCCTGGTGTACTACACCGCCGCACCGCCGCCGCACCGCCTGGTATATCTGAGGTCGATAACTCAGGTCAAGAACTCTGACGCCATAATGCTGAAAAAACCAGGAGCTGAAGATCTTTTTCCTGTATGTCGAGAAAAAACGCACTTCCGTGAGCAAGGCTTCTATCAAACGCCTCACGAGGCTCTGCGTCGACACTATATATTTACCTCAGGAAGGCCTCTTCTACAGACAGAGCGGAGCGAGCTCTCGCAAGGCAGACGTCTATTCAGTGGCATATGGACGCAACTGCTGGTGCGTCGTAGGGACAGGACGAACCCCGTCGTCGAAATCAGGGGCACCACTCGTGAGCAGCCACCAAGGGCACCGCTCCTGAGCAGCAATCGAGGGGCACCGCTCGCGAGCAACAATCAGGGGCACCGCTTCTGAGCAGCAAACAATGGCATCGCTCCTGAACAGCAATCAGGGGCACCGCTCCTGAGCAGCAATCGAGGGCACCACTCCTAAGCAGCAATCAGGGAAGGCCGGCGGTTGTTCAACGCGATTCGGCTGGTCCCAACGACGTGCTCTTGAATGCCAATGAAACAAGTGGAGGTGTTTTCCTGCAACCAAGACTTTGGGGAGCGAAAGCTGCTGGAAGGGCAAGCCATCACCCGGTACACACGGTTTGATGATGGAGACAATGGAGGCAAAATGGAGGCAAAAACATGCTTCTGAAGCTATGTCACTTAATAGGAAGAAATATTGCCGGATGAGGAGAGGGGGTGGGAAGGGTCTGTGCGTGAATGTGTGTGTGGTGGGGGGGGGGGGGGGAGGGAGGAGGGTGATTATTAAGGGTGAAAACCGTATGTTCGCCATCTCAAAAAAGTCTCTAGCTATCATGGAGAGGAAACACGTTCTAGGGATTTAAGATACTGATCTTTTTAAACCGTACACAACTAAACCAATTGATGAATGATTTACACGCAGACGCGAGAGCTGGCGATGCCCAACGTGAAACAAAACTCTTTTTCACCTAGGTGTACACGTAAATAAGCCCCAAAATATACATCTAGCTAAAAAGTTATTGGATGCACAAATGGAATCAAGGATTAAGTGACCGACGCATGCTGGAATGATACACTACACCATCTGGGAGGCAGTCGCTGCACTGGAACCACTCCATCACCCGGTGACAGATGGCTGAAACCATTTCAACGGTTAGGGTATAGACTGGTCTGGCACCAACGTATCTCCTAAGATACAAACACCGGACTGGCAATTCTATCACTTGATGAAGAGGCAATGACAGTCCTTCCATGATGTGTGTGGGAGGGGGCTAATATCCATTTCTGGTTATTCCTTTTGCGTCGACGCCCATAGGGCCAATCCTAAAGCTTCAGGAGTATTGGGGAGGGGGGCGCAACCACTACTCAGCCACCCCACCGCTAGTTCCCGCGCCCCTGGCTGAGGAACAAACACCAGATTACGACGTTGCGGCACAGACGCTGGACCGCGACGCGATCTGTATGCTGCATCCTTGTGAACCGATGTTGGACTGGTCTGCACGGGGATATGTACACTGAACTAAAACACTGAGGATTGACACTGGATTGGACCGCGCTACAAATGATCCCCTATTGGACTGGGCCAACGAGGCCGGACACTAGACTGTCACGCTGCAAGACCGACACCGGACTGAGATGTGATACCGAGTGGCGGACACCGGACTGATATGTGATGCCGAGTGGCGGACACCGGACTGAGATGTGATACCAAGTGACGGACACCGGACTGAAGATGTGATACCAATTGGCGGACACCGGACAGATGTGCTACCGAGTGGCGGGCACCGGACTGAGATGTGATGCCGAGTGGCGGACACCGGACTGAGATGTGATACCGAGTGGCGGGCACCGGACTGGGACACGGCGGAAGTTACGAATTTGGGACACAGAGAGGCAGGCGCTGGGCTGCAATACTGATGAGACAGGCACTGAACTGAAATACTGAGTGCAAACGGCGGTCCGCGAATGCGACGCGGCAAATTCTGGGCTAATGTATGAGGGGAGTCAATGGGCCGTGACTCTGATGGATCGACACTGGACTGGGGGTATCAAGTGACAAAACACCGAGCTGAGATCTCGAGTGACTGACACGGCACTGGGACGATGAGTGACGGCCACCGGACTGAGCCACTGACGTGCAGACCCCGGCCCGTCACCGCCACCACTCCTGACCCCGCCACACTCCACACCAAAACCTCGGCGAGCGTCCCGTCCTCCAGCAGCGTCACTGTACCGTCACGCGCCGCCGCCCGGCCGGCCGCCGCGCTCGGGTCACCGGCGACGCTCGCCGCGGACGCCGGCGCGGCCGCGGTCGCGCGTCAGCTGACTGCGATCGATGCTCGCCCGGCGCCGCCCGGCCCTCGCGCCGAGGCCGCCGGTACGCGCCCAGTGCAGCGCGCCGCTCCGGCCCGCAGAGCGCGGCAGGGGCACGCAGCCCAGGCCGCCCACGCCCAGCGGAAGCGGGGCGGCCGGAACGGCGAGGTCATCAGGTGGCGCTATCCCCTCTTGGCGTGGTCGTTTCCGTCAAGCGAAGACTGTGGACTTGTATGATTCGTTTCGCCGCGTTACGTTTGTTTTGATTGCTGCGTTTACAAATCGATAAGACCAATCGGTTCACGCGGGCACGACCAGATCAGTTAACATCAGCTTGTCGCAGCACGTGATACGTCACCTGCATCCTGCCTATGACCTTGAATGGCAGTTGTACTG